CGTACATGGGCTCGGGGGACGGCCCCTTGAGCAAGGCCGCCTCGGCGTCGCCATCGTAGACGGAGGCGGGCCCCGAGTAATCGCTGAGGTATCCTGAGGACCGCGGCGGACAGACAGGCAGACAGCGGAAAGGAGCCGGGCATCGTGCGAGACACAGACAAACGGCAGCGGAGACGCCGGGGTCCGAGCAGAGGCAGCCGGGAGCACAAAGGGGAAGGGCCGAGGGGCGGCGGGCGGGGGAGAGAGAAGAGAAGCGTGAGACCCGGCCGAGCCTGGCTCCGCCCCCGCGGCGGGGCCCCACCCTCCGAGGAGGAATGAGGCGCATCTCCGGGTGCGGCTGCCCCTTCCGCAGCCTCAAGGTCAGGGGGGAGGGGCGGCGCTTCCCTCGCCCTCTTTCCCCTTCTCCCCATCCCCCTCGGGTTCTCCCCACTTCAGCAGTTTTCTCCGATTATGCAACACTCTGCAGACCCGCAGCGCACAAAGCCGGGGCTGCCCGCCCAGGGACCCCGTCACTACCGCCCCTGGGGATTCCCGCTGGCTCTTCCCCTGGGCCCCCAGAACCCATACCCAGTCTTGACGCTGGCCCCTCTGGTCCTGTGGGTCCCCCAACAAGCCCTGGAGACATGGACCTCGCAGGCCCTGGAGCCCTCACGAGCACCAACCTCTCATCTCCCAGGCCTCCCGCTCATTGGACTTGACCCCTTCTGGCTCCAGCCCCATCTCCCTCCTTCAACTCTGCTTCTCCCTGCACTCCCTGCCGTCACCCTCGGGTCCCACCTTCTTCCACATTGCCGTCTTCCCCCAGGCCATAACCCCTGTGGGGGCCTTCCCGAGACAGGCCAAGCAATCAAGGAGAGTACCAGGGTGTCCACCAGGGGACCCCTTCCCAGGGACAAGCTGCAGGCAGGCAGCATCGTTCATGCTGGTAACTGCAGTTGTTCTCAAGGCACAAGATGGGTCTCACAACCTCAGTCACAAGTGCGCACCCCACAGGACTCAGACTCCGGCTTCCTCAGGGCATACCCAGCCACCGTCAACCCTGGAGCCCCCTCACAAGGTGAGCTGTGCACAGGCCCTAGAACACACCGCCCACTAGCGCAGGGTCACACACGCAGCCACCCCCAACATCCTCTCGGCAAGGGTCACCAGTCACATGGGCTCACAGCAGCCTCAGTCACATGGCCCCATGCAGGGGCACACAAGCGGGCACACACTCACACAGGGTCACACACAAGCGCAGTCACATGGCCACACACAGTCACATGGGTGCACACAGGCTCGTGTCCCTGCAGGTCACATCTGTTCTGCCATCCCATGTTGCTGGCACTCCCGGCTCCCTTGCCTGCATGCTGACAGTTGTCCTTGAACTTGGGCGCCCTCACACAAAGAGCCTGCCCGTGCTTCCAGCGCTTTGGACCTCCCCTGCCCACAGCCCTCCTGCCCACAGCCTTTCTTCCTGCCCCTGGCTTCAGGGAGGATGCCGCTGCGCCTCTGCTGGTACCTTCGCCCTGACAGGTGGGCAACCCCACTGGACCCCATGCCTACTCCCTGGAGCTCACAGCACTTCCCTGCTGGCCTGGCAAGCAGTCCCGGGGGTGTCACCAAAGAAGAGAAGCGGGTACTGAGCAGGCCCAGGCTTTGAGGTGTGGGTCTGCATGCACCCCTAGGTTCCGTCATGTCAGCAGGTGTCCATGGGTCAGTGTGCACCTTCAGGCGCTTCCTGCTCCTGACCCCGGTTCCCCACCCTCTCTCCTGCATTGACACTTTCCCTGCCTGGCCGTGGGCCAGTTCTGGCCTGTCTCTGCGTTCGCCTTTCCCCAGCCCCCATCTCCATTCGCTCCACAGCCAGGTCTCAGCCACCGCCTCCTGGCGGTCTGCTTCCCTAGGGTCCACTTCCCAGGGACCCCGTCCCCTCCGCCCCTCCAGCACGCCCAGGCCCCATCCCGCCGAGCCTCGGCGCCGCGCTCACCTTTCTCCTGCAGCCGCGCGCCCAGGTCGCTGCGGGCACGCCCGTAGGAGCTCTCGAGGTCTGCGGCGGAGAACGTGTCAAGTTTGACCTTCTTGACCAGGAAGGACCTGGGCATGGTTTCTGCGGGGCTCCGGCGCTGTGGGCCTGCGGAGCCGGGGCGCGGGGGTGCTGCAGCCGCAGCGAGGCCCCGTCACCATCCGAGGAGCGGTGGCGGCAGCCGGGTCCCCACTCCGGCCTCCGGATGCTGCCGCGCGAGGGCTGCGCTCTCCTCCTGCCGCCTGCCTGCGCCTCCTGCTTCCCTCCTGCGCTCTGCTCTGCTCTCCTCTTCTCTCTTCTCTTCTCTTCTCTCTCTTCTTCTCTTCCCTTCCCTTCTCTCTTTTCCTTCCTTCTTTCCCTCCTTCCTTCCTGCCTGCCTTCCCTCCTCTGGTCCCGGCTCCCCAGCCCGCAGTGCCGCCCCTGGACAGGCGGGGGAGGAGGCTGGGGGAGGGGGAGCGGCTCCGTCCCGGCCCGGAGGCTGCGAGTGGGTGCAGGGCTGGCCCGGCTCCGCGGCCCCTT